GGGTAGGGAACCACCGCAATGTCTGAGGTGTAGATACAGATGCTTCTCATAAATGGTAGTAACGTTGTGTCAACAACAGTTGGATCGCCTTCCACCATCATTGGATAGTTTTGTCCAAGGAAGAGCGAGTTTCCTCCAAGACTTCCAATACTAAACCAGGGAGAAGGTGTTGGCGCTAGTACACCAGTATCCATCCCGAATACCCTACAACGGATGTTGGAATAGGTCCGAAGAGTGCGACCATACGAGACAACAACTGCTTCCTTAGTAACATCAGCAGTGCCCCGTATACAGACAAGAAGAGGTGATCCATCGAAATAAGTTGCCTGGCACCACTGAGTATATGGGTCCTGCTCGTCCTCATGCTCGTGAATAAAATTTTCAAGTATAGGTGGTGCAATATTCTAGGACCTTGGAAACACAAGAAGGTTAATTAGTAAAGGGAAACTAGCTAAACCGCATGCATGTGGATGAAACAATTATAATTACGATGGAAGACAAACGTACCAAAATAATGAGGATTCCATGCAAAAACAGTGTCATGAGTGGTGGCAGCAAACACAAGACCCTCGTATTGAATTGCATCACAGTACTCATCCGTGTATAGAAACTAATTTTTGAGCAATATCCATCAAGTCGAACCATGAAGGACGGCAACAAGCTTGTTGAAGATAGCGACAACATAAGCATTCCTATAACCCCAAGAGCGGTTGGGAACTCGACAAATTGCTATCTTCTGTAGATGACAGTCAGCATGGTCGTATTTGAACTCACGTAGAATACCGGTGTACTCAACCTCTGGGCAGTCGTTTGAGATTTTTCGAAGTGGAACCTGGTGACGAGTGTACACATTCACAAGTTACCACTCGCAGTTGTACCCAATATAAACAACCCAATCTCCATTTGCGCCTGCCCAAGCCTTGCCCTCAAGCGATGGCATCTTAACATCATATGTATCATTATCAAGCGGCATCAATTTACACAAGGCGAGGCTTCCCTCGTCCCCGCGCCAGTCAGCAGGGTCATGGCGAAGAAGATAGGGAAGATCAAACCACCCCTGGACCCTTGGGTTCCTTGTAATGATGTTATTAGTTGAGTCGAGAATGATCTTGGACGAACCTGCCATGCTAGCCGAGGTGATGACGTCGCACCGATCAATGAGTTCCTCCACCGCATCATCATTCAAATCGGGGCAAGAATAACAGGGTCGTTTTCGGCTTGTTCCCTCCATGGAGAAGACGATCAAACAATGGCAGAAGGAAGGGTGAAGGCAAATGGAGGAGGGAGGAAGAGCTAGCGTGCGACAATAGTTCCAGATCGAGAGGGAAAGACGAAGAGTCGGTGGATGGTTGCCACGGTACATGAAGAGGCGCCTGGGGAGTGAACGGTTGCCACAGAGGTCACACACTGACAACAAGGGCCGAGTGAACCGCATTCAATCCCATCGCACAACACACACGTCTCGTTAAGTTGAACCGTTTATGTACTCTTGTGTCAACGCAAACAGTTCATCCGAGTGAACCGGATGCCGTATATCCCACATACCTTGATTTGGCTGACCATTTCTTTTGTGTTGCCTAATCACAAACAGTTCATCCGAGTGAACCGTATGATGTATATCGCACACACCTTCATTTGGCTGCCTGTTTCTTTTGTGTTGCCTAATCACAAATAGTTCATCCAAGTGAACTGTATGCTGTGTATCGCACACTCCTTCATCTGGCTGCCCGTTTCTTTTGTTCCTCATCATCGCAAACAGTTAATTGAACTGAACCGTATGCCCTTCATCGCACACGCAACTAAAACCTAAACCGTGTTTGATGCATCCATCATCGCAAGCGTTTTATACATTTCTGACAGTTTTCATACATCACTGTTTGCGATTATGGCGTTGCACACAGTTTCTCAAAGGGTCTCTGATTATAGTGTCGCGTTAGCAGCATCCTGCAGTAGTGTGGGCTCAGCTATCAGGTGGAGGAAACTTTTTTCCCGCGTAATAAGGAGGCACTTTGTTGTCTGCGAAGATGTAGCGGTGGGTCCCAACTATCAGGAGGTGCAATCATTTTTTTCGCGTAATAAGGAGGCACTTTCTTGCATGTGGCCATGGACCATGTTGGCCCCTACAGAGAAGATTAAATTATATTCATAGATAAACTGATCATAAATCCACAATTCATCAGGTCTCAACAAACAAACCGCAAAAGAAGATTACATCGGATAGATCTCCAAGAACATCGAGGAGAACATGGTATTGAGGATCAAAGAGAGAGAAGAAGCCATCTAGCTACTAGCTATAGACCCGTAGGTCTGTGGTAAACTACTCACGCTTCATTGGAAGGGCAATAGAGTTGATGTAGAAACCCTCCGTGATCGAATCCCCCTCCGGCAGGGTGCCGAAAAAGGCCCCAAGATGGGATCTCATGGGTACAGAAGGTTACGGCGGTGGAAAAGTATTTTGGTGGACGCTTCTGGTCGTTTGAGAATGTTTGGGAATTTGTAGGCCAAAGATTAGGGTTAGAGGAGTCCCGTGGGGCCCACAAGCCACGGGGCACCCCCTAGGGCGCGCCCTAAGGGCTTGTGGAGTCCTCGGGACACTTCTGTCTTCCTCTCCAAGTCCTAGTATGTCTTCTGGTCCAAGAAAAATCATCATAAAGTTTTATTTCGTTTGGACTCCGTTTGATATCCCTTTCTGTAAAACTCAAAAACAAGGAAAAAAACAGAAACTGACACTGAGCTCTGGGTTAATAAGTTAGTCCCCAAAATAATATTAAATAACATATAAATGCATATAAAACATTCAAAACAGATAATATAATATCATGGAACAATCAAAAATTGTAGATACGTTGGAGACGTATCACGGTGTCCATGAGTTAAGCGCTAATGGTGGCCTCGATGGCCAAGTGCTCCTCCGGGATCTGTGGGCCGGCATGCACGGCAGCCACCGCAGCCTTAGCTGCATGTGCTACTACGACCACGATTTGCCTCTTGACGGCCAAATGCTCCTCAAGCTCCCGGGCATGCGTCATGGATCACAGCGTCGAGCAACGAGGGTTCAGAGGATCGGATGGTGATTTGGATGGTGATACGTCTCCAACGTCTCTATAATTTTTTATTGTTCCATGCTATTATATTATCTATCTTGAATGTTTTATATGCATTATTATGCTATTTTATATTATTTTTTGGGACTAACCTATTAACCTAGTGCCAAGTGTTAGTTGTTGTTTTTTCCTTATTTTTGCTTTTATAGAAAATCAATATCAAACGGAGTCCAAATAGAACGGAACTTTTTGATGTTTTTTCTTGGACCACAAGACACCCTGCAAGCTTTTGGGAGGAGGCCAGAAGGGCCACGAGTCAAGCACAAGCTAGGGCGCGCCACTAAACTTGTGAGCCCTCGTGGCACTTCCAACCCTAATTCTTCTTCTAAAAATACCCAAATATTCCCCGTAGACCAGGGGGCACACTAGATGGCAGGTGTCACACCAGTGGTCAGGCCATTAAGGATGGAGGAGGGGGAGGGAAAGGGTGGATTCCCTAACTAGATCAACAAGGATATGAGGCCAACACGGGGAAGGGCGTTGCTGGCAAGGAGGGGCCTTGCCTTTGCCAGTTGTCGGGGTATGCGTTGTCGATGCTTTGGGCCCCGCTTCCTTCTCGAAGGCGTCATCGAGGTGATGTGTTTGCTCTTTTGCCATTGGAAACTCTGGGGAAAGCCTCATAGCCTTGGGGGGGGGGGTAAAGCGATAGTGGTGGTGGTGCATATTGCTCCCCCTCGGGGGTATCATTCTAGGAGTTGGCGCATGCTAGAGAGACTTGTGGTTGGACAACTCGCGTAACAACGACAACTGCTTCACCATAATCAGAGCTGCTTGGTTGTTGTGGTGGTGCACATTTGAGATGGCTGGTCGGCATGTTGTTCTTCGATGGTTCTTCGCTTAGATTTTGTCACAATGAAGTCGGAGTGACCAGGTCGTGGGCGATAGGTAATGAGACGATGTTGTGTGCAAAGTTGATGCGGGGGTCTCTCGGCGACCTGTGTTGAGTTCTATGCTTGCACGTGCTTCCTCGCCCATAGGTAGACAGTTCTCTTGGCCTTGTGCTAGGTAGTTGTACGTTGTGCGAGTTTTCTCTCGTTTTCACCAATTAACCAATAAACTCTCTTCTTTTGAATTAATGATAGATCCCTAAGGGCTTCGGTTAAAAAACAAAGAGTATTGGAGGTGGCCAACAGAGGTGGTTTTCACCTAAGAAAGATACGACCGCCTTTAAATGACATATAACATACGGTTTTTTCTTTTCGAGTACCAAACCCATGTGGTTATTAAAAGGAGACTACTCCTAATAATTCAAAGACGAGTCACAGCATCGAACAACGCCAAACCTCTAGCCCTCCCAATCCCAGCCAGCCGACCCGTCCTCGTCCTTTGCCAGCTCCAGATCTGTTACCTAGAAGATCCTCCGCAGGGCATCCCGACGGATGCTGGGACGTTATATGTGTCACCACAATCGTGCCATCAAATCCACATTCGAAAGAGATTTTCAATTGTATAATTTTTATGTCATGTTATTACTATTGGTTTGAATACTACTAAATGGTTTTAGTAGGCAGGATATGAATAGGATAGGATAGCCGGCTGGAAATCTTGACCATTATGTTTGACATTTCCCCCATAAAAAACCCTAGCACTACGGCATATCGTGGCAAGCTTGCCACGGGCGACTAACAAGAGGGAACGTGCGCGTCGTACCACCACCACCACCACCACCTCCCCTCCCCGCGACCCAGCCCGCCCCCAACCACCCCGTGCACACTCTAAGGCGACGCAGCCGCCTCGCCGTGCCGTGCCGTGCTGCGCTGCGCTGCGAGCAACCAACCAACCAGCCCGTACTTCCGCACGCAGGCCCCAACCTCCCCGTCCCGAAAGTTGGCAGGCACGATCTCTCTCCACCCCCTTGGACTCTCCTCTGCTCCTCCTCTCCCTCCCCACGGCGCCATGGAGCGGCTCATCTCCAGGACGGCGGTCTCCCCGGCCCAGCCCCGGATCCACCTGCCCGGCAGATCCCCCTTCCTCACCACCCGCCGCGCCGCCTCCGCCTCCGCGGGTGCTGGGAGCGCCGCGCCGTGGACCCGGCTGTGCGCGCAGCCGCCGCGCCTAGGTGCCGCGGTCGCCGCTGCGGCGCGGCATGACGGTGCTTCGGCCCCGGCGCCCGTGGAGGAGGTGGCTGCGGCGGCGGCAGCTGGGCCTCCGTGGAAGCTGCTCGGGAGCCTGCTCCCCAAGGTGAGAAGAAATTTCAAATTTCTGTTCTCTTATCCAGATAGAGATATTCAGTTCTCGGGGTTACAGGATTGCTAAGATGGTTCCCCAGCTCCGCTGTAGCGGAATTTAGTCCTAACTAGTGGCCTATACACGAAAATTCTACAAGAAATAGCCACGAAATTGCCGGAATTCTACTCCTCAGATCCTGACAGCTTGGAGTATTTAATGCGCATGCGGAGGAGATGGCAATCTCCCCTTTTCCATGGAATAGCTTGCCGTCTTGGCCTGGCTTCTTCCACACAAGCTTATTTCTGTCTAGGTTCGATTATATATTTAGATCCTATATAGATGGAGGAGGAAACGAAACTGTGTGCTCGGTGACAAGTTGAAATTCTCTTCGTGTTGTCGCTTGGCCTCTTTAGTTGAAAACATGATGTGTCAGCTGGCCTTTAATTTGCAGTTTACACCTAGGAAGACAGAGGCATTGCACAGGAAACAATCTTAGTTGTGTTAAACCGGAGGAAATGTCTTGTGGATTTTAATGTGAATTGTGTTAAAGGTGATGCGTCTGAAAGAAATGAAATAACAACTAGAGTCATATCTGTGAAACATGTATATGACACGACACAACAAGAATTTTCTTCTAGAATCATGTGAACTGCAGCTTATTATTATAAGGACAGTGTTGCAGCACTTCACCGAACCTGTGAACCATGATGTTGCAAATACTAAGCTAGTAAGCTTCTAAAACGGCACATCTGCTTAGAATGATTAGTCCCACTGAATATCTTGGACAGTTGTTAACCGATGTTAGCTTTAGTTATTATATTCAAAATTCACTATGAATGTTCTCTTGGCAATTTATTTTCTGAAGACATTAAACCCTTAATCATGTGAACTAGTTACTTTGCAAGTTTTTAGGATGATAGTTGCGAGTTTTTCTGAAACATATTAATAAAATCAAGGCAGTGTACAACTGTACATAGAATCTAGTAGTTTCCACAGGTACCATACTCGCCCAAAAAGCCTGCTCACCCTAAGACAACTCAAAATGTAAGATAGCCATCTAAAACAAAGTGTTTCTTAGTAGAGATCAAGCCTGTTACCACAACAACGATGAATAAACTTGTAAATAATGAGTACATTATGGCATATCATCATCTCATCAACTTCAGGCGACCTTTCGACAATTATGGCCTTCAACCATTTCTAGTCAATTAATAACTGTTTCTTGGCACTAGCATGCACTTTGGTACTAAGAATCTCTTTTTTATGCCCATGAAAAGAAAACACAGTAATATTTTACCTTAAGACCTTAAGGTACAGAATCGCACATGGTCTTGACTATTGCTAGATGAAACAAATTTTAATTTTAGAATGGAAGTATGAAGCATTCATATATGAAGTGGGCCAGGGCTTATGTGCAGATTTGAGATTCTACGTAAGTTATGGTATAGTATTTTGTCGTACTGTATGATTTTGTGGCCCTAAATCTGAATACACGCTTCATCATCTGAAATTAATTAACTATTACGATCTTCTTGCTTTCTGCTCTATTTTGTTGTGTTTATGCATGAAAACTGTGGCATCTATTCCATAACAGCTTATGCCATTCTTATTAATTTTCTTGGTGATTCTTTGGCACTTGTTTTCTGATTTAACCGATATTTTCTGTTCCACAGGCTTCTACTGCTGCCCTTGTCCTGCTTATGACACTTACTGCAAGTGCCTTGCACTCTAGCATTCCCCATCCTGCCTATGCATCGGCGCAACCAGTAATCAAATCTGGTGGACTCCTCTCAGCAGAGTTATTGAGCAGCGGCTGGGCTGGTTTCTTCGCGGGCTGCTTACATACCTTATCCGGGCCTGACCATCTTGTCGCATTGGCACCACTATCAATTGGGAGATCAAGACTGGAGAGTGGACTAGTCGGTGCCCTTTGGGGCTGTGGTCATGATGCTGGACAAATAATTTTTGGCCTGCTCTTCTTGCTACTCAAGGATCGTTTGCACATTGAGGTTCTCCGTATATGGGGAACAAGAGTTGTAGGTCTGACCCTTCTTATGATAGGCGCGACGGGCATCCGGGAAGCTTCAGAGGTTCAAGAGTCGGGGCTAATTCTGGAGGGTGTAGACATGAATGGCAGTGAGCCCTTGCAACAGGCCCCTGCTGTTGCTCCCAGGAAGAAGAAAGTTGGCTTCACAACATTTGCCACCGGAGTCATCCATGGCCTCCAGCCAGATGCGCTGCTGATGGTCTTGCCCGCTCTTGCTCTGCCGTCACGCTTTGCCGGCGCGGCCTACCTCGGTATGTTCTTGGTCGGGACTGTATTTTCGATGGGTAGCTACACTGCTTTTGTAGGTTCTTGTAGTGAGGCTCTAAAGGATAGGATACCTAAGATAACGGAGAAGCTGACCTGGGCTGCTTCCCTTGTAGCTGTATGCTTGGGGTTAGCTCTTTTAGTTGGGCAGTTCTTTGGGTTCACCCTATATTGATTCATGTCCTAGGTTCTTGTTACTACTTGGCAACATTGTTTTGATTGTTATTTGTTATGTTTACGGCAGTTGAGCTCAGACTACGACACGGTTGGTATTCTTAGACTGCAACTTATACTATGTTACTACATGTTTCTGGGGAAATGGGTGTCTTTGTATTTTTGCAAGTTTGAGAGGGTACTGTGGGACTTTGATCCGGACCCTACTCGCATGGTTGCGGATTCGTAACCAACCAGCGGTTCCATCAGACCCATGGGGCCGCACCAACAGCTCGGTGTTCTTTGACACGGCATACATCTTCAGTTGCAAATACGCTGCCAATGCCGTGACTTCGACCAGCACTGGCCCTACCGTTGAGGTCTCCTTCGTGCTTGTTTGTTGCTTGCCGCCTCAGCAGTTAGTACGCTGCACCGGCATGGCGACAGGGTCGTCAGCCCGGACGGCGGCCTCCTGTCGTGGGCGCCTACTTCACCCCCAAGCTCCAGCATGACTCCATGCTTCTTCGGCTGCGCGCGTCGGGTTCTTCGTCCCCAGGTCCGGCGGGAACAGGCCGTCCTCGCTCTGCCTGACACGGCCTCGTTGACGCTGGTGTTCTCCATCTACATCATGCCCAAGAAGGCTGAGGGCACAAAAGCATGGGTGTTGGCCATAGTTCATCATCGTAGAAATCAATACAAATCAAATAGTTCAACGAAGCAAACTCATAATTCAAACATATCGAACTAGGCGTTGCCCTTGAGCCTCCATAGGTGCTCCATCAGATCGTGCTGCAGTTCTCGATGCACATGTGGGTTTCGGATCTCCTGACGCATATTGAGGAAGGCAACCCATGATGCAGGTACCTAGTGATCAACAGTTGCAAGAGGACCCTGACCGAAATATGGTTCAGTGTCAAACACTGGGGCTTGCTGCTCGCTCTCAATGATCATGTTGTGCAAGATGACACAACAGTTGATCACCTCCCACATTTGAGATTTCGACCAGGTCAGAGCAGGGTATCGGACAATAGCAAATCGAGATTGGATCATATCAAATACCCGCTCGACATCCTTCTAGCAAGCCTCCTGACACTTGGCAAAATAGGAGTTCCTGCCTCTTGGCACAGGGTTTGAGATAGTCTTCACAATGGACCATCTCAGATAGATGCCATCTGTTAGGTAGTATCCCTTGATGTAGTGGCGCTCATTGACCTCGAAGTTCATCGGAGGAGCATGACCTTCAACAAGCTTGACAAAGACATTCGAGCATTGTAGTACGTTGATATCATTGTGAGTTCCTGTCATACCAAAGGAGTGCCAAATCCAGAGGTCCTGTGTGGCCATTTCCTCAAGTACCACACTGCAAGCTCCTTTCATGTCTTTGTACATGCCCTACCAAGTAAATGGACAGTTTTTCCATGCCCAATGCATGCAGTCGATGCTTCCAAGCATCCCAGGAAATCCTCTTGCTGCATTTTGTGCTAGGATCCAAGCAGTGTCTTCAACATTGGGTGATCGCAAGTATTGTGGTCCAAACACCGCCACCACTGCCCCGCAGAACTTGTACAAACAATCAATGGTGGTGGACTCGACCATGTGTCCATAGTCTTCCTGGATATCACCGGGAGCTCCATATGCAAGCATCCTCATAGCAGCCGTGCACTTCTGGAGTGAGGAGAATCCTACTGTGTCGGTGCAATCCTTCTTGCAAATGAAATAGTTGTCAAACTCCCAGATGGCATTCACAATCCCGAGGAAGAGCTTCCGGCTCATCCGATAACGGCGCCGAAACACTTTCTTGCCCTGCAGTAGAGCGTTAGTGAAGTAATCGGCGTAGAGCAAGCAGTAGCCCTTCATTCGATGCCTCGGCTTGCTCTTGCGGCGAGGTGGCATTGTTGGCGAACAGGCCAACCAGAGCGGCGAGGATCATGAGGTGCTATTCGTCGTCGGTGTCGGCCTCAGCTTCGTCCTCCATCAGAGTCACGAACGCCTCCTCCTCGTCGGAGTCCATTGCCGAACAGGCAAATCGCTGAATACCTGACGGGCGTGATGGGTGGGCAGCCGCTGGTATCCCCGCCTGCATCGTCAGAGCCCTGGAAAGCTCGCCAGGAGCGGGACGGAGGCTGTAGTGGTGAAACTCCCTCTTTCCGGTGGGGAAACGACCTTTCTAGCGGCGGAGCAGCGACTGTCGGCGAGTGGGCGGCCTCGGGATCGGCATGGCGGGGAAAGGGGAAGTGGTGTTCTGCGGCGCGCGGGTGGAATCTGGGTGGGGTAAAGCCGTTTCTCGCCTGACAGTGGTGTCCCACGCGCCACTTTTCCTTCCGCCGGAACCCCCAGTCCCCCCCTCCCCCGTGCGCTGGGTTCAGCCTGGATCGCCGGGCTAAACCGGTGGAATTCG